GTAATTCAGCAGAAAAGATTCGCAGTAGGTCAAAAGTCCAATGCATTTTAATTGAGGACCAGCTGGCATACCCAGCTCTGCTCGGCATTGTCAAAAGACTATGACAAAGGTCCCATCCCTATCCCTGTACAACCTTCCCCTGTGCCCACTTATACATGTCAATTCACTATTCACGCTGTGTTAGTACTAGTCAGCATGCTCACCCCATGTGCCAATTCTCAGCGTAGCTCGAAGTTTGCCAAAAAATCGATAAAATCGAAAAAGTAACGGGTAATTTTAAGAATGTTGCTTTCGTAATCAGCATGCCCACTTACCCCCTGTTGCACAACAGATTTGCAGATTTGCACAACCAGCATTTCTCAAACTTTGTCTCTAGATCATGAATGCACGATCAAGATTTTACAATCCATTCCAAAAAATGTGGTAACTCATCGGTAACGTGACTTCTATACCTAAACTCGACGTCCGCTGATTCACTAGTAGGTTGGTTCGAAAGTTCGCGGACATTTTCAGACGAAATCTGCTATTTCTCGAAACCTAATGCATATACATCCGACAGAGATACCATTTGACAGAGCAAAGCAAGCTCTACGAGAATGCAAAATTTTGCACCATCTTCGACCCACCGTAAGTTTGCATTCAGATGAGTCGCACTGTATGCTCAAAAACTGGGAAAAATTCATATCTTCGTTCAGATAAATAAATCCTACGGATCTCGAAGTTGCTCAAGCAAATTGCACACTACATCAGACATTCACATGTACCGTTTCTGTATTTTTTTAAATCTAAATCGAGAAAAAGTAAATTTTTTATGCCCATGCAAAAACGAAGCCGCGTTGTTTCCACCCATGTATTAGGTTGGTAAGAAAAATTTCGTACACTTTCACGCTAAAATTGATATTTCTCGGGTTGTAATGCATCTACGAAGGTGAAAATTTGTAGTTGTACTCTCACATATACGCGGCTTATACCTGTGTAGGTGGGGCTTTGCATATATGTATGTGAGTTCATGTCTACTTTATACTGGAATATTTGTGAGTGTTACAGTGTTTACGGAAGGTGGAATTCTGAGCTTTATCAAAATCTTATGTCTTCGAATTTTCGCCTCTATTTTCACAGGATTCATTAGTCATGGTTGTGATTAGTACGGTCTTGTAGTGTTTGCTTTCCTCTGTCCAATGATGTACAGCATGCCCTATTTGGTGCTTGCATCGAAGCATTATTTTTGTATAAAGGCAATGTCCGAGAACTTTCTTACCAACCTAATAGTTGTATACTACAAACCCTTAGAAGTATAACCGTAAATTCTAAACTTTCCGCAAGCGCTATTTTCGAAAATTACTGATTTTAGCATGGAACATCCGAGTGAGGAGAGCTCAATTCGGTAATTTTCGGAAACTAAGGCATGTAGAAAGCTGAAAATTTGCGGTTTTACTTCTAAGGGTATTTCTAAGGCTTCTATACAATTACATGAGTAGGAACAGCGTAGCTTCGTTTTTGTACAAGCATGAGATCTTTCGTTTTCTCGATCTTTAATTGAGGAAAAATACAGGAACGGTACATGTGAGTGTCAGATGCGTGTGCAATTTGCATGACAAGTTGGAGACCCGTAGGATTTGTTTGAAAGGAGATATGAATTCCAATTTTTCGATCCTTCAGTACGATCAAATTCTGGGTGCAAACTTAAGCTGGGTCGAAGCTGGTGCGCACTTTTGCATACTATTTTGTAGAGCTTGCTTTGCTCTATCGAATGGTACCTCTGTCGGATGTGTATGATTAAGTTTGAGAATTAGCAGATCGCTGAAAATGTCCGAGAACTTTCGAGCCAACCTAATAGAACAACTTTGTAGAACTAGAAACATCATCCATTCTCTTGCAGACTAAACACGAAGAGTTCCATAGGAAAAATCCTTACATAATACAGTTTCTGATTGTCAAGAAAAACCTATTTTCAGTCTAGCTATACATGATCGTATCAGATTTCATAACCCACAAATCTCATGCATTTGTAAGAAAGGATCACTGCGTCAAAAGCTTATATCAAAAGATTTGCAAACGATATCGAATCATAAGCGAAAGCGCGAAAATATATCGCCCTGTTTTGCGTCATCCACGAATAAAATATGCGTCCTCAAGTCTTCGTGTGCGTGAGAAAAAAATTCAGTCTCGCTTCAGTCAAGCAGCATATGGAATGGGGAGTTTGAGAAATTCCATGGAAACCCAGCAATTTTCTGCAAATGCAAAAGGCCTCACAAGCGGCTCCTGTGATGTGTTGAACTGCATGATTGCAAGGATGTGAAAGGATATTGGTGAACTTCCCACTGAAGATAACGAATGTCAGTAATCTTTAGTATCAGAGGTGACAATACAAGGGGTATCTCTAGGTGAGCGGTAGATCCACAATTAGCTCTCTAACCATCAGGCGCTCAACATTCCAGCGTAAGCACTATACACTCCCAATGACAACTGCATCGCGAACGAGAAATAACCTGCCGGAGCACTGCGTTCAGCTTAGGCCTGGTACAGCGGAACTTTAGGAAAGTTAGGTTGGAAAGCTTGGATTACTTCGTTTTTCTTTGCGTGACGCGTTTTTGTTTTACGCTCAAATCGATAAAATGATCGTAGTTAAGACATTGCAAGGACCGATAAAGAACACCACAGAGAAGGAGTTCCGCACAGCCCTATTACGTCTGATGAGCCGCAGGTTGAAAATCTTTGAAAATACAGGTTTTGAGGTATCACGAAGCTGGCTCCCAACCGATGTGAATTCGCGATGGACGCATACACAAAGCCAGAATGATTGGACGAAGCAGGAAAATGCAGAGTGAACTTTTGACCGCGTTCGCAGACCTCACCCTAGAGAAAGTGTTCGACGAAGTATTACAAGAATTGAAAAGGTAGGCTACCATTACCACATGGATTGGCACCATTTCATCCCTTTTAGTGCCAAAGGACTACGTAGAATGGATGAAAAATGAAAATGACCTACAAAGATGCCAGCTACTTCCAAACAGCAGAAGGGCCATCAAAAGACGAATACACAGCGTACACCAGGATTCCGTACCTCGTTGCTTCCGTTCATGTCGTGGATGCGATAATCAACGACTTCACGACATCCGCCATGGGGTCTCATGTACCAGAATGCGAAACTTCAAAAGAAGGTGCAGAAAGGGAGATATCAGCTGGAGCTTCACGAAATGAAGATGAACACAACGAAGACGGAGTACGTGGAGTTAGGAACGCAACACCTGGGACAATCCAAATTGGAAGCAACTAGTCAAGAAGAACATATTCTTCTACCTTTGAGTATCACCGCAGATGGCAGTCTCGATGACGAAACCTAGTGAATGCAGCTTGGATGAAGTGGGTAAGCGCAGAAATACTGTGTGATAAACAAACGCCGTTGAAGCTGAAGTTTCTAATAACCGTACAGTGGTACAACCCAGCTCGATACGAGAGCGAATGCTGGCCCTTACGGTACGAGGAATGATCGGCCTGATGGAAACACGAAGGCTGGCTGAGGTGGTCTATAGGAGTAACGATGTTTGAAAACATCCCAAACACCGTACGAAGCACGATGAAAGTGGTACCAGTTAGATATCAAGAAGATGCACAAAAACGCCTTCGTTGAAATGGACACATGAGAGCGAGGAAGAAAACGAAATAACAAGATTAGCCATGTTATGTGCAAGGAAAGAGGCCAAGAGGAAGACCTAAGCTGCGATGACTGGACAGAGTCAGAGCAGACATGAAAGAACTTCAGCTGAGCGAAGAGCAACTCAGCTATGCGCTGTTGAGAGATGTTTGATACTGCCACACTGATCGCAGCAGACTGCAGCAGACTGCAGCATACTGCAGCGGCCGCAATACTTGGAAAGAACAAACGACTTTGACTACGACAGACACCTTGAATGACGCTTAGGAAAATCAAAAGGTCCGGTTTCTCCCTTTTCAGTCGAACTTTCTTTTTTTTCACGCGAACGAGCACTCAGTCAGTCAGTTGCGATCTGCTGCAGTTCGTTGAGGTCAGTGCGGTCTGCTGCGATCTGCTGCCGTGTGCGACAGTATGAAACAACCCTGAATTGCGCAGCCAAAAGAGTTGTGTAACGGCGGAATTGATGCGCACAAGCAATCTTACCTTCGCGACAAAACCCCTAAATTGTATTTTGTATTAACTATTAATTGTATTCAGAACAATGCTCTCGGAGAAACGCTTTAGCGCTACATGCACCTTGCAGGAGATATGCGGTACCTCACACGCGTGACATCCTGATGTCCCAACGCAACTGAAGCGCGTTATTTCTCATCACTACCCTTGCTATCCTCCTAATCTTACATTTCTCCATGCACAGAGATGAAATTTACAGGTTCGAAATATCAAATTCATTAAAAATTTCGGGAAAATGACATGACTGCAGTGAAGTTTAACGGTACATTTCAGAAAAAATACTCCGATTTCCTTTGATACCGCCTAGAAGTTGTGTTAACAATGTCAGCGTTAGCAGCAGTTGCCCTTTCGCGACAATCCCAGAAATCTGTAAAAAAAAATGTCATCAAGAGTGCGCGCCGCGATGGCAGCAAACCTCATCCCTTCCACCCTTATCCGAACCGACAAAACCCTAGAATACCGAAACGTCGACTAAAAAGAATTCCAATCCTTGTGTTTTCCATCTCGCAAAAACGATATCCCCTTTGCTTTTTGTCCCAAAAAAGATATCCAGCTTTTTAAAAGCCGCCTGTGCCAAGTCCTGGATCAGAGATGGTGCTTCAAGGGCTCGTTTTCATGGGTGACATTCTGAGCCATTTCCAGGCCTGTGAGGAATAAGAATGACATTGGAATGTAGGGCTTTGACTGAAAATTAAAAACTGATAGACTTATTTGGTAGAGAAGCACAAGAATATAAACTTCTAGGCTTACAGAAAAATGTTTCGGGCTTGATTTCGAAGTTGCTTCAGTGAACTTAGACTTTATCACGACAAAAGCAAACATAATGGAGCGAATGCTCAAACACACATCACCGGAAAACAAAACAAGCAGATACCCAAAAATCACATAATTTCAAGGGGTGGGGACGTTCTCTTAGAAAAAGTCATCACGCTATAATTCACATAAAATCATCTGATAAGTTCCCGTCAGTAGTCTCTTTCTGCGGCGCAGAATTCCAATCAACATCTTCGTAATGGCGCTGCCGCAAAGCAGCTTCTCGTTCTTCAGCTTCTTTCATCTCGCGTGCTTTCTTCTCCTGTTCTATTTTTCGTAATCGTCGTCGTTCCGCAGCATCACGCTGCTCTCGCTCGCCTCTGGAAAGAAAGAGACTTTGAGAAGAGATAAAATTCTGCGCCATACCTTCAATTTACAGATAACGTATGGTCTGCCCAAAGTTCTCTATCTGCAGCATCCCCGCAACACAACTATTTTCGACACCATTTTTTGTACTTATTTTTTTACCTTTGAAGACAGATTCAGAGATTTTGCAAATATAAAATGATAACATCTGAAAGACTTTCGATGTGTAAAGATGAGAAAAAATTGAGGATGATAAGATGTGTGCGATAGTTCTTTCGATCCATTTATATTGTTTCGTGTTGTTTTGAATGTTGCCGTCTGCCGCGTTTCCTACTCGCGGCAGGACCACTCGCCATCTTGGCGGGCCAGAGTGCAAGTGTTGCGTCAGTTTCGTTGTTCACTTGAGTAGCGGTTCTTCGTTTTTGCCCACGTATAAATCTTTTATTTTGTTTTTTTTTATAAACCTCTTGTTCTTTCTCGGTGTGCGTCGTCCGCACAAGGGAAAGGGACCAAACCAATCCTTGTCTCCTTTTTTTACATGGGGCTCGAACAAAACTGAGAAGAGGGAAATTCTCTTAGGCAAGTTTTTAAGGGAAATTTTCTTTTCTTTTGTTCTCTTTTGCGACCTAAGTGTGCTTGTCGATCCACAGGTCATCTGTGGAAGACTCTCATAGCACATAAACAGGTACGAGAACCTCTGATCGAGGTGGTACCTGTAATCACCGTGGGGTGAACTGCCGGTCAATCCACAGATTGTCTGCGGAGGCCGAAAGCAGACCCATGTAAAGGGGAACCTCTGCACGAGGGGACCTGTGCATCACTGTGGGGTGAGTAGGAGCTTGAAAGTTACTAGCTTCAGAGTCGAGTGAAGCAGTAACCTCTCGCCGATCGATAACAGAAAGTCTATCGATACGGACTTGTTCCTGTTGCAGGAAAATGGCCGAATCCATTGACGAAGAGATGGAGGCCATGCTTTTGTTGGACGGCAATGAAGGCACAAGCGCATGGAAGAAATGCAAGCGCAGATTGCCGGCCTGGCACAGCAGGTGCACCAACTGGCTGAAAGACAAGCACCTTAGGTAAGCATGATATCTGCAAGCATAGGCGAATGCGTAGCAGACATTCGCAACCTTGTGGGTAAAACACGCGAAACGCGGAGCCTAAGAAAAGCCGTGGAAGTACGGGGCTGAGTTTCGGCAAATAGGCGATGTCTGCAACAGACTAGAGTCAGAAGCCCGCAAAATTGAGCAGCTAGGTAAACAGCTTAGTGAACTCAAAAGCGTGGGTCTAGACCAGCTGGAGAATTGGCTCGAAACGCTAGAGCAAGCTCAATATGACGATTGCGCAATGCAAAAACTGTCACAACTTCTTGCGGTAGACTCAACCGAAGTAGTAGAGAGCGTGCAGCGCATTCTAGAGTCAGCGGGTCGAAAACTCGCGAATAGAGGAGCCGCGAACGGGTGTAGAAGGTCCGGAAATAACTAATGATGGGTTATTTCAGAGCCAAAGGGCAATGCCAACCGATAAACCATCCACCAGTTTCCAAGATGCATTGAGACAAATCCACACTGGTGAAGTGCCAAGAAACCTGGCAGAATTTGATCCGATCGCAGCGGCACGAGGTAATCACTTATGCGATAGCACCGAAAATAAGGCGCAATATTTTGCCGCAGAAACGAGTAATTCCTGCTTTGCGAAGAGAGCAGCCCGTGAGAGAGCCGCCGAGGCTGCCGGGATTCCGCTCCACGACGTCGAGGCAGAACTCCCAAGGTAGGAATGAAACACTCATTTTGAAAACGGAATTAACAAATGTAATGTGCTCTGCTTTAACCGCAATGGATCTGCCAGATGTCCCAGTGTTTGATAACTCGCAAGGCAAAGAGTTCGACAAATTTTTGCGCTCTTTTATGATCAAATATGGCGGGCTGAGCTTGAGGCATGATATGCTCATCCACTTGTTATGCTCAAAACTGGCGGGACAACCTCGGGGCGGTAGAGACTCTCCCTCTAAAGGTTCGGGAAGGAGGTTTTCAGGAATTTGTAGCTGGGTTGAAAGCCAAATTCAAAGAAAATGAGTCTGCCAACAGAATGGAGGCATACATCAGCCTCAAGAACATTCTGTGCTTGGGAAGTATCTCAGAAATACTGTGTTAGGCTGGAACAGCTGACCACGGCAGCGTACCCCGAATCGTCGGAAAGGGAGCTATCCATTTTGCGGACCGGAGAGTTGATTGCACAACTTACTGACTGGCCGGAGTACGTTCAACTCTTTACAGAGGTAGGACAGACTCCTGCGGAGGAAGCATATGAGAAGCTCAAGGCCCTTGCACAGCGGATAGAGAGGAGTAGGGAAGTGGCACTGCACTTGAAGCAGGAGGCCACGAGCAAGCCCAAACGATTTCTGCGGGGACGCCAAACGACACAGGGGCGCGAGCAAATGAGTCAAACAAAAGCGGAAAAGGAGCACCAAGAATATGCAGAGCAGGAAAACCCCAACCAGAACATGCAGCAGAACGGATCAAAGAAGCGAGAGTTGCTCTGTCACAACTGCAAAAAGCCTGGATATTTTAAAAGGGATTGCAAGGAAACCTCAAGCACCCAGTGCACCCCCAGGGTTTCAAGGGAGGTGTCACAAGGAGGCAAAGGCACGGATGAGCGTGGTGCAGAATTTTTTTCCACCGTACTGCGGCACTGGGCATGCAGTGCTGTCGTAAGGAAGAAAGCTAATGATCTAGTGGGCAGCCAGACACTAGAAACCGTGAAGTTTCTTGGCCTGAAAAGGGAAGCACTGGCAGATTCTGGATCACAAATCAGTATTATGCCTCTGGATTTGCTGCTGAGAGCACAGCAAGAAGGATTTGACATAGACGGAGATGTGGAATAGATTCCGCGACAGGAATATCCACCATTTTACGATGCTTCTGGCAATTTGATGAGATTCAAAGGTGCCATTTGTCTGACCTTAAGATTAAACAACGGACCTCGATGCCGAGCTGCCTTCTTTGTTAGAAGAGGAGGAGATAATAGGGTAGTGCTGGGGACAAATATCATGCACGCACTCGGCTAATCGATCCGTAAAGAAGGTCAACCCTGCAAGGGCGAATGGAAACCGCCAGACCAACAAGGGGAACGGCATAGCAAGCATGGAAAACCCAAAAGGCTATGGAATTGCGACAGGCCAAAGTAGCCGCATGTGCCTACAGTAGACCTGGCGGAAGCAAAGGAATGGAGCTAAGGCAGACCAAACGGACACAATGTCAAGGTCTAGCGTTGTGTTAGTTCCGGCTCACATTGCAACACTGCAAACGGTGCAGTAAGAAGCCCCGTCACCAATATATTGGCACCAAGAATATACTGTGTCGGTAAAGTTGTAAAGCGGACCACATTAAATAAACCGAGAAAAATGCCTCGTCCTCTTCAGCGACCAAGGGAAATTAGAAATGCGCCGGTGCGGAAGCAGAAATTCTCATTCAGAGACAGCAAAACGGGAGACCGTTGACTTCAGGCAATCGGGTGGATATGAAGGTGCCCACGAAGAAAGCTCGATCAAAACACTCCAAACCGGTCAGCGACCAGACAGAGCCAACTGGAGTGATTCAAGTGAAATTAGTGTTCCTCTATCAAGCAGGTAAGGGCGAATGATAAGCCTGAGCGCGTTCCGGATCAGCTATAAGCCCCAGAATGTTGACTATATGCCTGTAAGGGCAACTAAGGGCTAAGCAAAAAGGGTAGACTTGGAAAAGTCACAAACTCTAACTCGAAGTTTCGTGTTGCAGAGTCGAGGTTGAAGAGCCGATGGACCTCCCACATTGTCTCCATCCTTGCGAATGCGGTATTTGCGGGAAGCGTGCCAACATGGCGCTAGCAGGATACGACGCCAAGGAGATGAATCACCACGGGCCTATGGAAGACGCGATTACGAAGCTAGATCCCGCGACGCACCCTGGACTTAGAGAAGCTGCATCGAAGTTGCGGACATTCGAGTTATGGGACAGGAAGAAGAAGAAAATGGGCGCCGATCAGGAAACGACGAAGGCGTGAACAGAGGAAAACTGCCGAAGCCGGAATTTTTGCACATTCGGGACCTAATGAAGATGCGCCTGGAGCAAGTCCCTCTCGCGGAACAAGGACAGGACTATACGAGTGTCCGGAGGTGACTCTCTTCGAGGAGCGACGTGTAAAGATGAGAAGAGATTGAGGATGATAACATGTGTGCGGTAGTTCTTTCGATCCATTTACACTGTTTCGTGTTGTTTCGAATGTTGCCGTCTGCCGCGTCTGGACCACTCGCCATCTTGGCGGGGCAGAGTGCAAGTGTTGCGTCAGTTTCGTTGTTCACTTAGATCTCGTGGCGGCACCTCGTTTTTCGCCGGTTAATGGAGTTTTGCAGTTTCGCTACGTACTCTGGCAGTTGGCCAAGCACGCATAAGGGGGGAAGGGGGCGGAGTTTGAGCCAGGATGCGTTCTTAGCCCTTGGATGACCATTCCGGTCTTTCGTCAGCTGAGAACCCACCCGCCCACCCTTGCTGAGGCCTCAGCTGCTTCAGACTGAAAAGATTCCCTTAAGGGCCAAGATAGAATTTCAGGTTCTCCAGGGCCGCGGGACCACAGAAGCAATATGCAGGCGTAATGGAAGGACGCACATGAGGGTCGATCGACATGCGGAGTGCAATTGCCGCAACTATCCACCTCTTGGAAATGATCCACGTTCGATATGGGAGTGATGGCATCCACCGTTATGGGCAACATCGTCTGGCTGAATCCGGCACCCGTCATTATCGTTATCACATCTTGAGTTGCAAATTGAGAAATGATTATGTTAATAGTTCTTGTGTATAAGTGTCTCGCAGGCGACTCTGTTGCGAATTCACAAGTTTCTCCTTGCTATGTTGTTCTTACCGGATTCTCTGAGGCAGTTTCTAGTCGTTCATAACGTTATCCTGCTTTGTGATCAAGACGCTGCGTAATCACACTCTCAGTTGTATTTATTAGTTAACTACAGTCGCTTCATTTCATATGATCATGTGTGCCATTGCAACACAGTCCATTTTGGCGTCCTCATCCTGGATTTGCACTCGCAAAAACGCAAGAGACTTACCGACTGTTATCGATTACATCAATTTGAGGTGAATAGTAACTAAAAAGGAAAGAAAATGCTAAGAACACCTTGGAAACACTTACCTGAAGGCTCGTTTCTCCCACGAATCCAGGATGGGGACACCAAAGGTAAACTGTGTGTGCAATGACACACATGATCATATGAAATGAAGCGACTGTAGTTGCATTGCGATTTGGTCATATTACTGTATGCAGTCGTTATTAGGTTTTGCTTATGTCGGGAACCGTCCCATTAATGTACATATGCTGACGAATGAACCTTCAACCCCCCTTCTTCGTTGCGAAATGCAAAACAGAGGTTTTGCCGTAGAATATCGGAGGCAAAATTGATCCTTCTTGTGGTCTTTTTGTGTTTTTTTTGGTAAACTCTATCTTGTCCTCGGTGTGCATTCGCAGTAGGGAAAGGGACCAAATCCTGCTATCAATTCTTGTCTTCTCTTTTTTACAGATGCCATTCTCGTACTTATTTTTACACTATCCCGTTTCGAGGTGAAGACCTTTATCAGTTGCGGCTTCCTTCGTGATCCTCATTAGTAGTTCCCAAAGAAGCTCCAAAAGAGCGGTGCAAAAATAATCAGTTTTTGGGCTCCGCTGCAGAAACCAAAACTGAAAAGACGCACGAAAGCTCAAAGCGAGAGGCATTCGAAGTGCAGGTGCCTATGAGTAGGAAGTATTAGGGGGCAGATAATGAACGAATTACGTCACTGCAGACCATAAGAGAATGTTCAAAAGGAACAAAAACATTCAGTTAAACGCGCTCCTGACGATGGCTTCAGAAGTCAGTCAAAGTACAACACATTAAGCCACCTTCACTGAGCAGCGCAAAAATATCCACATTACAGCAAAAACCAGGTTCCCGAGTATCGTCCGTCCTTTTTACAACTGATGCTACAGTCTGCTCCAATTGGGATCAGGCCGAACCGTCAGTGTAAATTTGCGCGGTCTGCGCTGCAGCGCTGTCGGAGAGAGCGGAAGGATTGAAGAGAGGGCAGAGAAGCAGGTGGTGAGCGGCGAAACCCTAGCGAAGCACTCCCGCCATGCCAATTTTGGCCTGGTTGGGATTGGGGCAGACTGTACTTCTGCTTTGCGTCTATGAACTGCGGCACGTATGATTAACATGATATCAACATGCAGCAAGTGTCGGCAGCACGCAACAACATGTTCTTGCCAACACGTTGCTGCAATTTTCCAAAACGCTGTGAAGGTTGCTACGTGTTAGCCATGCGTGCCGCAGGTCATAGGGACCCGTCATACTTCGCCGAAAAAAGCCCAAAAGCGCTCAAAAAAGCCCAGAAAGCCCGAAAAAGCCCAAAAAAGCCCATAAAAGCCCGAAAAAGCCCAAAAAAGCCCGAAAAAGCCCAAAAAAGCCCAAAAAACCCGAAAAAGCCCGAAAAAGCCCAAAAAAGCCCAAAAAAGCCGGAAAGCGCCAGAAAGAGCCGGAATGTAGAAACGAACTTTTGGTAGAACTCTGACATTATCTTATCATGCGGACGACAGAAAATGACAAAAAGGCTCGATTGTGAAGCCAACACACATGCCTTAGCGCCAAAACGTGCGAGAAATGTCCCGGCTCTTTCTGGCGCTTTTGGGCTTTTTTCAGGCTTTTTTGGGCTTTTTCGGGCTTTTTTCGGCAAAGTATGACGGGTCCCATAGGCACAGAGCAAAGTAGCAGCGATTGTGGAAAGAACGATAAGCAATGGTAATCTACAACTTGCGGCTGTTTTCGTACAAACGTACAGTTTATTTCGCGCCTAACTTAGTGTGCTTGCGGTGCCGAGATTTTTGCGGTAAAATTGGCGTGTGAACAAATAGCCACGCCAATAATGCCGCCATCTTGCAAGAGCGAGTAACCGGATGCCGGCGTAGCGATTTGTGCACGCGCAAATTTCACCGCGAAATCTCAGCACTGAGAGCGCACTATCTTGTGCGTAAAAACAACTAGAGTATAATGGATAAAATGCTTAAGAATCCTTGACGTGAAGTAGCGAAAATTCTCAACGGATCTCCTCAGATTCATAATCCAAACCGTTATATTCAAGACGATTTGTTCCAGTCAATACCAAAAATACAACTGGTTGAACATGAAAACAAAGTCCCTCACCTATAATCAATATCCGCTTTCCTTTCTGTTTTGTTCAGCCGATTCACAATTTCGTTGATCCTCTTAGCCACCACAACTCGTTTCACTTTTCTATTATCATGAAATCCGATCTAAAAATGGATTATTTGCCATCGAAAACTATGCTAATACAAAATAAAAGGTGGTTTACCTGTCCTACAGCCATATCACCGGTTTTCTTCAAATTTTCCCACATAGTATAAACAACGCCAACGTCATGCATTTTATTACCCTCAATAGAGTTTGCCTTGACCAATTGGCAGCAGTCATCTATCTAAATCATGTACTAAAGAACGCGCAACCCACTTAACGATAAAAAAAGCAAACTAACCAGTTCCTGTGGAATAGTATCGATAGTCATGCCTTCAGGAAGCCGCAAATACACATGAGCGGAAGATACTTTATCAACATGAAACCATACGTCTTCGGGCCATCCATACTGCAATTTTTTGGTCACATTAATGATCGAGAATTTTTTAACTTACCTTGATAAGTTCCTCATTTTCGTACTTATCCACACCCATATAGAGAAGTACTGGAGGATCTACAACGTTGGAGGTGAATTTAATCACCATACTTCTACACCTGAATTTATGCTAATGTTAAACTTAGTCAAGCAAGGAGAGCAAACGAGTACGTTTTACCCTACAAAAAGTCAACGGAGCAATAAACCTGACAGGAACGTAGAAAAACTCATAGACGATACTAACAGGTTGCCAAAACGACGTCGCTTAATTCAAGATAAAAATTGCAACTCAAACATCGAATTTATTCATTTTTTAATTTAATATGGAAATCTCAAATCAAAAAGGAGATCTCCACCAAAAATATTGCAGATAAGCCTAGCTGGCTTCTTAAAATGGTTACGCCACACTCATCATGAAATAAAGTACTTAAACTTTCTTATCGTTCCATCCAACTAAGCCACTGCCCAAGCGCAATTCATCGGTTAAAATTCGCCCTAACCGACTTTTTCCAAACGCAACCAATCAGCGTCCTCTGATACTGTACGCTGATTGGGAAGTGTCGGCGAGATTGACTGACCATGAATGAACCTAGCTGTCGCACGAGTGGTAGCTTACTAGGAACTCTCCAGTCACTTACTTAACAAACCCTCAATACTCAGGCAAAATTCTGCCGCAACCTAAATGATAGTTTGATGACGAAAAACAGTTGATGAAAAATCCTTTGGCAAACGGCCTTCTGGGGTCTGCGCAAATTTCAAAACGCGTCGGTTCTAGTCTGTATTTGCAAATCCACTGAAGCAAGCCAGATAAAGTGAAAAAACACACACACACACTGATTGATATGTCCATGCACTAAGGCACACTGGGAGCAAAACATAAGGATATCTTCTACACTTCTTCCGCTCAGATACGCATTATCGAAGTGTGCGTTGCAATAAGTATTTTTTTGACTGCGCAACAAAATTAATAGAGAAGCAAAATCTAAAATCTGCAGCAATGACTGTGGAGCGATCGGCAAAGGTCAAGAAAATTGCTGAGAATCTTAAGCACCATTCTGGAGAATCAAAGTCTTCCGTTCAATTCCAGGCGCATGATAATTATAAACCATTGAAAAACTCAAGGGATTCGTTAATCACTCTATTAGTGACAAGTATACGAAAAGCGATGTTAAGCACGCATTCAGCTCAACATGAGGCAAAGCGCTCAACAATATTCATTGAACAAAAATTCTATACTTTATAACAGGGAACATATAACAACGTGCATCAGATGAGAGGTACCTATACTGCCTGGATCCTAAATGCCTATACTAAGCTACAAAAATTTGAAACCTAGTGAAAATGACAACGGAAATTAATTCAATACAACAGCAAAAGTAGTAAAACTAAAAGCTATGATCCAGAATTGCCTCAAGTTCGGGATTTTGAGAGGGGTCAGTGACAACACGAAAAGTTGTCATTGTTTACAAGAGGACATTAGCAGTAATGATTCAAGATTCTATCAAAACAAGGCCTTCGATAACCGCAATGCAATGAAATGACAAGAATCAACAGACAGCGTAAAAATAGAATTCACACAAACCTTCATGAGCGAAAAAAATCATGAAAATTTTTGGGTGATATCAAGTTTGAGAGATATACATATTTGAGAATGAAACAACAACCCAAACGCTTATCAGCAGTGTGAGCTGTATTCCATGCAAGATGAGCTCAACCAATTATAAGTCCAACTCCAAACTTGCCGGCTACCTGTAAGAAGGCAGCTGTTAAATTATATTCATTGATAGTGAGCACAGCTAGAAACATAGTGGTAGCAAACAACAAAGACGGAGAGAATAGACTCATGTTTTGCTGATAGAGTAAAAAGGGAAAAGTTGAGCTAATGTCACCGTTGCAGCATTCGTTTCCAAAGGTACAGATAGGCATTCGAGCATGTTTGAAGATACAACATGTACCTCGAATTGTGAGCCTGTGATAGGCCATTCCACCGCAAAAAAATTTAATAAAAACACTTGGGTGGAGAATGTAGCCGATATGTAGGGTTTGACATAAACACAAAAGAAAGAATGCTACAAAAAGTGGAATCAAATTTCCTCAAATAATATAATTCAAAAAGAAAAAAATTTATGTTTCTTTCAGTGCACAAAGGCGCATGTATGTAAAATGTCGAGAAAGCAACAACGCATTCAAATCGAATCAATCAAGGTTGAAGAGATAAAAACAGCAAGGTCCATGTGGCTGGATAAAGAGTAAAAAAGACAGACCTTGGCATGGTTGAACAACCCTGACAACGCCAGAGTAAACGGTAGTTGCTGGCTGAGTTTTTTCTCAAATACACCACCAACGGACCTGAAAAAACCATATTCGAAATTTCGGCATAACACGTTGACATTATTCACGAATAAAATTATGTTGATTTGAATGCTATACTGAATATCATCTGCGCGTTTGTATGATAACGGTGGACACTGTTTGAAGCAAAACTCTGTTCTTATAGCAGTGCAAAAATCTCAATGGTTCAAGCGAAACGAGGAAAATCGCCTGACTACTCAGACTTTCGTTGCGTACCAGCGGCGTACCTAAATGGCTTTGCGTACCAGTGGAGTGCGCTTAACGTACCAACCTCAGATAATCGCCGGGGGCAAGCGGCGATGCGATTCATGGGCAGGCGGGCACCGGAAAAATAGTTCGTTGATTTTTTGCGGCCCGCTTGCAGAAATTTGGAAGAAAATTGGCGAAATTAAGGACGAACGCTTGAAGAACAGTCGCGTTTTCTTCATAGATTAGCTGCGGCGCAGTGGCCGCATTCTCGCGGACTTTCCGCGAGAATTTGCAAAAATTTCGGGGGCCGCACGGTCCTTTGTGGAGGATCGCGCAACCCCCAGGTACTTTCCGCTGAAAGAAAGTACCCCAAACTTGGGTAATAAAACCATCGATGGCACCTCTGCCACATAGAGTGTCATCTTTTCTCGGCGTACGTCCGAAACCGCGTAAAAAGAGTCCGAGCGCCTGCTGAAAGTGTGGCCAGCGCTCGCTGAAAGAGATTGTTTGACGAGCGCTTGCAGAAAATTTTGTATTGATGCCCGCTTGCAGAAAACGGAAATACCGCCCGCTGAAGATTTGGCCACGCCCCGAAATCCTGCTGACCGCCTGCAGAAAAGCGCGAGTTTGCGGACCGCCTGCCCCCGGCGATTATCTGAGACGGCGTTCCTCAATGCGCCCTACCAGCGGCGTACCGTCTTTTGGCGAGCGGCGTTCCATCAACCCAAGCAAGCGAGCGGCGTCCCATCACATTAGCCCACGCTGTAAGCGTAAGCCGTACCCGTATGGGATACGACGCAGTGGTTGGGCCGCCTCAGCATTTAGTGGTTAGCTAGCACTTCTCGGCACTTGACAAAGAAGTAAGGTTGAGTTGTTGTTCTCAATGAGTAAGCCGGTAACACCTCAGCTGGGTGTTGTAGGGGTGGCCCACAATCCCCCGATTTCGATTCAATGAAGTCCATCGATCGAATAGCAGGAAATTTTGCGCTGATTTCGGCTTCATAAAATATGACGATATAGCAATTTTCAAACCAATTAATGCTGCATTTAGTACGTAATCAAAAATCGGGTAAACATGCGGTCCGAAGGCGTACCCTCTTGGCGTACCAGCGGCGTACCATTCTCCTGCCAGCGGAGTTCCACAGCGTACCAGCGGCGTGCGACTGCCCTACCAGCGGCGTTTGCGTGCTGCGCTCAGAGGACAGTTGAACGCCGCTGGTACGCAACGAAAGTCGGAGTAGGATACTAAAAAGGAAGAGTTCCCAAGCCAGCTCGGCCAACCCGAATAAGTCATACCTCCCGTAACGCGCTTGAAACGCTGATTCTAAATCTGCTTTCCTTTTCGGAACAACTCTCCGAAAGAAGTTATGAGCGTTTAAAATTCTAAATTTGTCATGTTCAAAGTGGTCTAAAATTAACCAAAAGCGTTAAAAGAACACCTAGCCGATTTCCACCGGCTATGTTCCGCCCTTATAGTCAGTATAATTGATACACAACAAATAACGCACTTTCACATGTTACTGTACAGCTTTCGCCAATTTTATGCCACTTAAGACTTGACAAATTTGGACTTTCAGATGCTCATAATTTCGTTAGGAAATTTGTTTCGCAGAAACCGAAAGCAGATTTGGAATCAGCATTTCAAGCCCGTTACGGTGATATAAGACCCATACGGGTTGGTCGAGCTGACTTGGGAACTCTTCCTTGTAAGTGGAACGAAGTCAAAGTTCAAGCTGATTATGCCTTGAAAAAACCAAGAAAAAGAAGGAAACATACCAATTTGTGTCGATACTAGCTCGCATAGTAACACCTTCATCTGGTAGTTCAGCTTGATAAGCAATGGTGCCAACAGCCTAAACATAAACAGTGCAAAACAGATAATCGAAGAAGAAGTAAGGAATAATTAAACATGGAATAAAGAAGGCACCTCGCCGACGTTAGCATTGCTTTCGAATTCCACCCCGAATGCAAGATTATCCGTCTGCTTATGATAATAAGTAAAATGAGCACCTGAACACCGAAAAACATATATGAGCATAAGAGTATTCAACAATGCTACCTGAAGACCCGAGGGTGGCTGCAGCTGTCCAAATCGGAGTTGTGTACCGGGCACTGTATGACAGCATAGAAACCTGTTGACCTTAACATCAGCGGTAGATTTGAGGAGAGAGTCAGTACATAAAGTCTATGATACTATCATGTAGTAGACTAATTATCAAGTGAAGAGTATGAATGGAACGATCTGGTGATAAGTGAATTGTTCTCAGAATTAAAAAAAAATATCTTACCAGGAATTTGCTTTCCATACTGGTACAACAGTTCCGCACCGATGTCAAGCCGATCAGTGAGCTTTCGGAGCAGCTGTGTAACCACAACTCCACTCTCATTCACTATATCAGTATTGGCCATAGTTATACCTAATGTTGTAAGGCGGCCTCTAGAAAAGAGAAAAATAACATTTGACTATTTTGACTAATAGCCATAAATCAGACAGTAAATTGAATTAGACTAGAACGAACCTTCTCTCAAACGTCCCTTGAGCCCCAACAAGTTTACCTTGCTGGACTTGTCCTTGTAAACGTACTCGATAATTGTCACCTAAACAACTGAAGAGTGATTATATTTGTTTGAAAAGATTATTTGAGGAATTTCAACCCAAATGGCAAAAAGACTAATCATTTGCCGGATTCATGAAGAGCAGTGACAAAAGAAAACTGGAAGAATCACTCTTTCACAGAGGAAATAAAGATAATTTGAACACTCAAGAAAACGAAATTAGCCCTAGCTGTAACATCGATTAAATGGTCTTGTTGGACCGATATTAAAATTAGCACAGTTTAAGAGGATCAAATCGGAATTGATTATAAGATTTATATTAGAATGGGCGAAGACTCACCGAACTGATGAAGTAATGTCGCAGTGGTGTTTCCTGCAACATCCGTGTCACCGAGGAAGATAGGATATTGCTCCTGAGGACCGACAACCTTTGAGCCAACATAGGTGGCACCAAAGCGATACCCTGTGTTTGCTGGAGAGATCGACAACGTATGAGAGACCTAAAAGGCAACTAAACTGGACACTTCACTAATCCAGGATAATACTAAAAGGGGGGTCCGATTTAGTCGAGGTTTTTCAAATAAATCTTATACCACTTTGAAGAGCCATAAACGCTGATTACATAACTGATTTCATAGCCAAGCGTCTTGCATGCCGAACGTTCTTTGATGCGAAAAATGAACGCATAATCTATGTAAACTCAAATATTACGGTCATAGCGTTCAAATGGGATAGTGTTAAGTATGAGCGTTTTGCATGAAAGTTTTTCAAATGGAGTCCTCTGATAATCAACGTTGGAACTCTGAGCAATTCTGACGGATTTTTTCCTAACTACGCATTCAATTATTCAATCCAAAAAACGCTCACAACTTGGCGTCCAGAGGCGCTTGGCAAATAACGAAGACAGATTTTAGAATCAGCATTTGATGCTCTTCAAAGTCGTATCAATTTCATGTGAAAAGGCCACTTGGACCAAACGGACCTCCCTAGTGCAATATATGAAAAATCTAGTTTGTATCAAGCAAACATATTCGTATGCTGATATTAAACAAATGAACAACTACTGATCCATGAGAAGATTATATATCCAGATAAACTGTGTTAGTTCTTGCAAAAGTCACCCTCTATAGATAGACTTCCGCAGATGCTCTGCAGTAAAAATGGTGATGCGAAGTGCGACTACTGAGAATGCTGCTGGACGGTAAGTTGTCACATTTTGGGGAAGGAATCTCGAACAGATAGTCAAGGACTGAAAAATCTAAATTTCAACATGACCACCTTACTCGCATTTGAACCCTGGGTCATTGAAAGCTTACAATCACTACTCCGCAACTTTCAGTGTGTGCGTTGATAAACTGATATCGGTGGCAGTTTGAAGCAAATGTCACCCACAAAGGAAAGAGACGAACAGCGCAGGAAAAACTTCAATGAGATAATGACAAGACAATTTCTAGTGATAGCGATTCCATCAAGACCAAATGCAAATACCTACTTATTGAATGGACACTAGTTTCGTTTCATTCCGAACTTTGGACCAGTGTACACGTGCTAAGCTTAGAGTGGTGATAAATGCTTATGATACTTTGTTGGTATGCATTTATGCAGTTCGTTATTGATCAAATCAGTTTATAGGTAAGGAATGGCGTCTTCCTAAGAAATAATGTAAGAAACAGCATCCGCAAACACTGTACAATTAGTAGGCTAAGTAAGCATATGGGCGCTTACGCGCTTCTGATTCTCAAAATCTTGAAGATAAAAGAAAACGGCAGAAAAAAAGGAAAACTAAGCCAGGTAAAAAAGTGGTTGATCACCTGGAAGTGAGAACTTAATCCTTTGCTGACCATAACTTTGGCACCTTCAAAGCAGGTCGGAAAGACATCTCTGGCTTTTCGGTGGAGCTCTTCATAGCTTCCTGAGTAAGGTGTGAATTCAGAAGAAAACAAATGCAGAACAATTACCATAAAACTCAAGAAAATCAAAATAGAATGAGATGAAAGAAAATAAGCTTAAGAATTAGCAGCTAACCTGGATTCATAAAAGGTTTCAGCAGCGAAGGTATAGTAACTTTCTCCTCCGTCACTGTCGGTTGCACCACTGTCGCTGCTGCAGGTTGTGACATTCTGATGGACCCCTAAGCATAATTATAAAACAAAGCATGACAAAATTCCAATAATTTTGAGAAAACAACAAACAACCAAACACACCATACAAATACAAGAAATTGACAGAAACGAGCTATGCTACAAATCAAATACGACTTTGATTCGGCTCGCATACCTATATAAACATCACTGATCAAAATGGCGGAAATAGGATTACTTTTAGAGGAAAAAAAATTATGCAATCAAACGCCGAGACGAGCTTGCACGATACGAGCCAACCGTAAACATCAGGCAAAGCAGGTGTGCGTTGTACTCTTGTAGTGCAATACAACACATCAAAAAACTGTGATGTTTTTCTTTCTAGTTTATGGAGTGTGATCCTCAATTGTCTGCACTTTTAAAGTCTCTGGGGGTAGGTTTGCGCTGACCCGAATGGGAAAGGTCATTTTTTGCTTTACGCGAACGAATAACAACATTTTTTCTTGGTTTACAAGCGTCCTCATGAAATCGCACAAAGAACAAGTTCAGAGTGAATTGTGTAACATCAAAAACAGTGCTGAAAAGATGTCTTCAGACCAACGCAGTTGTCTGAGTTACTTAGAGCGCAGCTTGAGTCAATATTGTGCTCCTGCAATGCTGACAACACTCAAGCGTAAACAATGACATTGTGCGCTCTATAGCCAAATTTTACGCGCAAGTCGCAGAAAAGTAGAATTTAAATATGGGTAGGGGACGAACTCCGCCAGTTTACGCCCGCCTTCGATGGCAACTGGTCTTTTTGCTTGTTGCATGTCGTTGCAGGACCAGTAGTGCGGAGGCGGTTCAAATTGGCGGAGTTCGTCGTAATCAGCATGCTCGATTACCCCCCTGTACCAACTCCCGGCCCCATAGCTCAAATTTTGCAAAAAATCGATAAAATCGATATCGATCGATGACGAAAAGTAGCCTATGACACCCGCCGGGGTCCGAAGTGTATGTGTGCCAAGTTTGGTTCGGATCGATTCAGAAATGGAATTTTCTATTCGGAACATACGTACAGACATATAGACATACAGACAGACAGACAGACAGACAGACATACAAACAGACATTCAGCTTTATATATAAGAAATATAGCCGTCTTGCAGGGAATTCTTTGACAGGGTTACGGTAAGTCTATGGTAAACGGTTGAAAATCCCTGATAACTTTGAGGGGGAATTTTTCAGCATGTTATGACCCTTGTGCACCGCACAACCTTCTCTGCTTAGTGGGTCGTACAATTATCGTAATCGTGATCAGCATGCTCAAAAACTCATATCTGAATAAATTTTAATTTTACTCATCTACCGTACACCTACCATAATCTTCAAAACTAGAGGAGGCTACCTCCAAATCAATATGATATTCAGCAATCAAGCTCCATTATTCCGAGTTTTGGGGTAGCGTTCAATGAAAAAGCGCCACAGAAAGATCGAATAGAGTAGAATTAGCGGGTATTATAGTGCTTTTGCGGTGTACACAACACTTACGCGGGAAGGTTGAAAATTAGAGCATATTTTGAAAATTTGTGGCCTTTGATCATACTTTACGCGCACGTTTTATCGATATCAGATGCAAGAACTGAAATTTCTGTGAATTTTATCAAACGGCGATAAAATGTAATTGTAACAAAGTCTGGGAATTTTTGTGCAAATAATTGGACGAGTCCGAGATTGTTTTTACGTCGAACGATCTAGGTAAAAAAAGTGACTTGGCAGTTGGAGTGGTGACGCTGCTATTACACTGTGTGTTTTGGCTTGGGAACGGCTTGGAGTGGAGTCGACTCTCGACGTTTATTGGTATTGCCTAGCCAAAGAAGTGTACTAAGAAACAAAAAATCACTTGCGATGCAATTAATACGTGTAGAGCTTCATCTTCATGTTTAATGTGGAAATCACCGTTTACAATGGCCTAAGTTGTTCATATTGGAAAATGTGTGCTTTTAATATTTTGCGCACAAAGTGTTGTGAAACCTGTCACGACATGATAAATTGCTCTTGCGACTGGGCGCGTCGCGTGGCATACGCGTCAGCTCAGTTTCCGCCTGTGCAGGGTTAGAACAAACTGTATAAATCTTCATATACCCTTTGATTTAACTGGCTTGGCGGCTGAAAGGCGGGGCTTCGTGACCTAATTAAGGCTAGATGATCAGGGAGCACGCGCGAGACAAAGACGCAGACTGCATCGCGGGCGCAACCAGTTATCTGGGGGTTTAGTCTTCTCTCTAATTTTCCGGCAACGCGCTTACGAATAGTTATGAAAAACAGTGCTAGGCGCATTTCTCCAAAAAATGCTTCCGTTGTATTATGCGAACTTTTTCGCCCCCATTACAAGATTTTTCGCACATTATATAGTAATCGATTGGAAAAGGGCTTTGTTCACACATCATACATAAATAAAAAGCGTTGAGAAACGAATTACCAATAGAGGGAGAGAGGAATTCTTATCAGTATTCTTCTGCTGAAACTTTTGATGCTTACAAAAACACAGACAGCAATTGATTGTTGACATTCCAACGATTCTGCGCCTTTGTCTAAAATCCACTCATCTATCATGTAAGTTTTTCAACGCGAAATTGGCAACTTTGAGTTGAAACAGATCATCTCACTCCCATACCTGGACCATTCTTCGCTACGGCAGGACAAACAACCGTTTGTGGCATTTCCTGGAGGAGGGGGGAGGGGGAGAGAGGGGGGGGGGGGGAGGGAGTAAGGGGTAGATGGGTGGAAGAAGGCGCTCTAAAACTTCACTGTCTTATAACAGTACGATTCCCAATTTTCGAAAAAAAAATTCGCAGGGAAGTAAAGTAAATAAAAATTTTGAGGTGCATTCTTCTCGGATCTCTTTGTGCGGCTGATTAGGATTGTGTGATATTTTTGCGGTTGTCAAATTATCTTTCGGTTTGTCCTCGTGGAATACATACAGCTAGAAAACAAGATGGTTATCATTCAACGCAGATTATGGCGCATTATAAGTCCGATTTGCCGCAGCTTTGCAAATAAATTCGTTATCTTCCTTTCTACAAGTCACCTAGAGTTTAATTGATTTTCCGTTTGATATAGTGTGCTTGCGGTGCCGAGAAAATGCGGCAAAATTTGCGCGCGAATAAATAGCCGCGCCAGTAATGTCGGCGTTTTGCGCGCGCAAGTGGCTGGCATCAAAGGTGTAGCTAGCTGTTCGCGCGAATTGACCGCTTTTTCTCAGTACCACAAGCACTATATTAAGCGGAAAATCTATTCGATTGTATTAGCTGTAGCGCAAATTTTAGAATTCCGACACATCGAAGCGCTCATTTATTGTGAAATTAGTATCGGTGAGTATCATGTTCCAAAACTTCTAAACTCTGTAAATATCTCAGCATCTGATGAGAGGATATATAACATGGAAGAAAGAGAGGCTTACTGATGCATTAGCAGCCAAATCACTTTCGACATTTGTGGACTAGCAGAACTGATCACGGGTGATGGACGGGCATATTAAGCGAATCGTCACCCCTCTTCGTTACTTTAGGATTACGGTAACGATATTGAAAAGGCTTTTGGGGCATTGATGGTCCTTACCGCCTAATGCAAACCAAATAACCTAAAAGCCCTTACGCTAGGCTAATCAGAGCCATAAACAATAACTATAAGCTTTGCACTTTACCACAATGCTTCGTTCTAACTAAGCTATACCAAGCCAACCGCAATAGCTGTTGTTGCAATGCTTTTTTAAGTTTTGTTTACACTTTTTGAGACGGTTAACAACTTCTGAAAAGTTGAGTAATAAAATCAGAGCTCGAAGACTTTGGTACACAACTTTTCAGATTTTTTTTGGAAGTTTCTAAACACGACTGCTCCGCAATGACGCTGTAAGCTAGAGGTTCCTACCGTAATCCTACAGTAACAAAGATAAGTCGGTGCGCTCTATATCATTAATTTAAATTGAATCCAGCTTTACGATGTGATGTTTGCGAGAAGGGTAACTTTTGATACAGGAAAGTTATTAGAGATCAAACGTTTAAGACATCACATTGGAACACCCTGAATAAGGCAGTCAGTGTAGAAGAGGAACAACTCGTTTGTGGGTGAGGATTCTAGTATTTCTATGTTTATTTATGGAGATTGGCGTTTGTTTGCGGCAAATATATGTCCATAGCTGCATAAAATTCAAGTTACCAGATAAGAAAACGTTATTGTTCTATTCGTACATATTTGCAAGTTTGGTAACCACCACTGACAGCACAGCATTTATCATAACTTATCTTGATTTATATCTTCCATCACCTTGATTTGTAGTCACATTCATCATTTCTCTGTTTGATACAAGAAGAAGCGACGTCAAAAATCAGAAATGTGATCATTATTGAAAGCACGAATTCGGAATATCGTTGAAAATGTCCCAGTCTGGTGTCACGCCCTTCATTGATGGATACCAGTACTCTTGTTTGTACAGTGAAAAGTTCGAACCATGCGGGAAATACAGCTCCCATCCATATGTTACGTCTGAAAAAGTTTATAATGACGTAAAGTGTAGTATATTTAACAACTGCGACAGTGCACCTGCGGTGGCGACAACACTTGCGCGTCAAAAATGATCACGGGGCGCAAAACTTGAATGACGCCCACTCTAGTGCTACTAGAGTGCACTAGAGTGGGCGTCTACGCCCATTCTCCCTACGCACGAATACTGTCTTCACCGCAGAAACATTATGTTAGCCATCAATTCACTGGAACAGGTAATCTGTCTAGGACCTACTTCTCTGCTCAGACGAATAACCTCGGATCAACGACGGATGCTTGCCATTAATATTCACGTCGTCTGGTGGTTCACCCTCATAGACGATCACTTCTTTGTAATGACCATTGAGGGATACTTCTTCGTCTCGTTGCTTCCGAACATATGTAAGACCCATGCTATAAAAAATTTTAATCAATGATTTATATTCACTGAGTGATACGGGCGGTCCATTTAGAATAAAATTAGCCTATCGTGAGGAGAAGAAAATAAGTAATCCAAAATGCTCCATAGAAATGAACATTCAAAAATTGTCCCAAATGCATGAAGATGCGATTTCAAGCACTTGTACCCTTTTTGCCTATACGACATTAATAACAAAAAGAAAAGAGCTTTGAGATGGTTTTTTACAAACCAAAAATGTAATTAAAGCAATTTATCTCAAAATTAGGGAAACATCCAAAAATTTTCAAAATCCAGCATATCCAACCAGATGTATATTTTTGCATCGAGCGCTAAGGAAATATTGAAATGACGCAAAAGACGAAGCTCTGAGAATTTTTGGTCAGATCCTAGACTTATATTTACACCAGAACTTCTGTTATAGAGAAAAAAAAAGAAAAAAAAAAACGCGTTGCTTTGGGGTTGGGGCTCCCTCATTTCGACAGAACTCTCTAATCTTGGTTTGCAATATCCTTGACACCTCTCTTTCAAAGTCCCGTAGGACCAAGTAATTCTATCATACAACTGAATATCCCAAAAAATCATTTGATATCACTTGGCTATAAGTAAGTAAGGGTGTCGACATTGTCTGCTGCTCAAGATTTTGATTCTTTTTCAATGGATCAAAATAAGGTGTTGCTTGGAGAAATAGTAAAGAGGGAATGCTCAAAGTTTTTATCATAATTTTGAGATCATGAAAAAATTCTACTGAAGAATAGAAAGGATTAAGGTAGATCAACTGGTTCAATTTTCATGAAATAATAATGCGCTTTATCGCGGCATATATTCAATTTTTTTATCTACTTCTCAAAAATTTGAACTTTTAGCTTGAGCATGAAACATTTAAATAAACCCTACCTTTCAATGAACTCATCGTAACCCTGTTCCATTCGCGTACATCTAACCTTTGTCTGGAAAAATGTCAGATTGTCGAATACATAGTACGAATATTGCCAATCTCTAGATGTGAGTCCCACTCGGTGAAAAATTCGCTTTTTTGTCGCATCTTGAACCCAGTCGGTACCGTACGAGGTGTACTAAAGATAGAAAAACAAAGCACTTGTGATACTTTAGCGGTATATGGGTTAGGGTCCTACCGTATACTGTTGCTGACCATTTTGTAAGCCACTTCTGTACATCATAGTGAGAGTTCCGTTGAAACATTGTTGGTTGATGTTGAATGGAAAATAAAGGGTAGCATTAGCATCAGCCGGGATGCGTTGACTTTCCCCTGCTAAAAAATCAATTTCGTTGCAAAATAAATCGACGACCCTATTTTACCAATGATTCTAACCAGGGAAGTTCGCCGAATCGAAATGGCCGATTGATATGTGGTATATACCTGGACGCGGGGCTCGGGAGGTTAGCATCAAGTGTGCGCCCATTAGCTGCGACGCGTTATTGTGAAGCAAGTTATGGCCCTCTGAAGTTTTTGGCGTGTGCATGTCTAGAGAACGCACAAATGCTCAGATTGCGGTCGTGTGGTGTAGTGGTTAGCGTCTCGGACTCACAGGTGACCGGTGAGGGTTCGAATCCTGTTCCTGTCCACATGTTTTGCGTTCTTCTCAAAATTCATTTTTTACCTGTTTTATGCAATACTGAGGTAAAAAATGACACATACGGGTGTTTAAACACTACTAATTATACATCCTGCCGTGTCATTCTCACAAGATAGCCCATTAGCAAGAATAAATAATACGACGTGATACAACTTGGAGATTGTCACTTAAATACTACGTGCAATCGAAGATAGTATGTGGGAGTGAGGATTTGGCAAATCTTCAAAGTCAACTGAAAAGCCGTCGCTAAAAAGTCGTTGCTATGTTCTACGAAAATTTTACATATGAAGCATTGATCAAATTTTCGTGAGAAAAATCATCCCGTAACCCGTGTGTGTCATTTTTTACCTCATTAATACATAAAACAGGTAAAAAATGAATTTTGAGAAGAACGCAAAACATGTGGACAGCAACAGGACTCGAACCCTCACCGGTCACCTGTGAGTCCGAGACGCTAACCACTACACCACAAGGCCGCAATCTGAGCATTTGTGCGTTCTCTAGACATGCACACGCCAAAAACTTCAGAGGGCCATAACTTGCTTCACAATAACGCGTCGCAGCTAATGGGCGCACATTTGATACTAACCTCCCGAGCCCCGCGTCCGGGTATATACCACATATCAATCGGCCATTTCGATTCGGCGAACTTCCCTTGTAAGTTTACTCAGTTCTGCCTTGGCTTTGCTACCAACTTCTCACATAAGGTGAAAGGGGAGGGAGGGGGGGAGGGGAGGAAGAAATAAAGGGCTTTATTCTCAAAGTGTCCGCTATGAGTTATAAAATGATTAGCAAATAAATTTATTATTCCTGGTTTTGGAAGATTTCAGTACTTGTGAGAACCAAACTTTGTAGAAAACTTTCTTAAAGTATGATTAGGGCAAAATCAAAAAGTCTGCACTCACGCTCCTTCCCCCCCCCCCCCCGCAGTGCTAATATAATCTGCGCACGTCACTTTTCACCTATCTATAGCCTCTGTTCGTAATCATCCCTTTATTGTTTATGTATGGATAATGAAAAAATGTTATAAGTCGGAAAGACTCACAAGTGATAACGGAATAAACGATGGCACCGCTAGCTGAGCAGATAAATATCAGACCGAGGCATAATTTGAAAATGATGGTCCCAACCTGAATTGCATATCATAATGATTGACAGACATGGTTGAAGTAACGGGATCAAGAATTTGCAAGGAATTCTTCGAACTGATTTAGAATACCTTATTGATATAGGAACTTCTTTTCAAGAATGATAAGACCACTAGCACAATGATTAACAACAAGCGATGTCATAATTGAACGAACTAAGGTTTTTAAAAGTAAAAGTCGCAGGTCCCAAATGGTTAATCAGGACCTAGCGTATTGGTCTTATGACGGCTCACATTTCAGTGAAGTTCTTCATGAGGAAATCAAACCCATTGTTAAAGAATAATCATCATAACCAAAGCACATCGGATAGATATGGTAAGCGCAAACAAAAAAAAACTTTTTTAGAATTTGACTTACAGATACTTTTTCATTGCTTTCAAGAACTGAAACATCGTCACCCCAATCGTCGTCTTCTACAATAGTCACCCGTCGTTTTCTGGAAGAGATAAGAAGATTATAAAGGTTTAGAAATTTTTAACGTCAGAATAGAAACTGGCTTGAATCTCTGTATCTAAATCATAATCAATTTAGAGCTTTTTATGCGTGAAAAATAGGAAGACGAATGCTCTTCAACAATATTGCTACCCGACAATCGAAGGATAAAAAAAGAGACTTTTCAGTTTCTGAGTATTTGGAGAAGCATTTGCGAAAAAAAATTCTTGATTATAATAATTACCGTTCAGCTTCTGAGCTACCTCCACTAACGGACATGCTGGAACATCGATCTTTTCCCGTTATCAGCTCTTATAATTCGATTTACTACCTGCAGGTGTGCACTAGCGAAACTTGAGATTACGAATGGTTTCGGCACTTCATGCTTGGAACAGGGATAAACTTTGAAAACAACTGAGCATTTATGGTGTGGGAAGATTCTCATCTGCAAAAGGGTATTTCATTAAAGATACTTTATAATCCGGCCTATGACTCGCAGAAGAGTTTCCCTATATATATATCAGTCGAAAGTTCTTGGAATGCTGTTTTCAGAACAACCTTCCATATTTGCTTAACGGTTTACTGGACAAAATTATATGCATTTGTTCAGCCTCAGATGCTACTGACTTTAGTTGTTTATTGCAGGACGAAAGAGTAACTCCAAAACTATTCTCATCGATTTTTTTATGCATGATAAATATGGCTCAGACTTTTGGGCATGTAACTTGGGAGCAAATTCGCATTTATTACGATTTTAGCTCATTGCACAATATCTAACCATGCAAATTGGTAGCGGAAAAATGCCTCTAACTTTGTTCCGTAAGCCTATGTGCAGATGTAAAAGCTTGTTTAAAATCAGCGCTCAAAGACCTTTCGAATGATGTACATCTCATAAGGGAGATCCACTGCAAGTCATATACCTTCCCGGTTTATAGCCAAAGTTTTGGTTTAAGGCTGGAAAGTTTAAGATGTAGATGTCTGGAGAATAAAATCATGCAATTGGCCACTTTTTAGTTTCAAATATCGGTAGAGTTTTTGATACCGTCTGAAAGTTGAATTATCTCTGGGAAAGCTTTTTATGGAAGTGGCTCCTACCACGTTTTTTACAAGGATTTTCTGTTTATATACGTACCTGGAACCCAAATGAAATTCCAGATTTTCCTCTAAAAACTCGGCTAGGATACGACCTCTGCAGCTAATCTCTTTTTTCTGCCTACATCTACCAGTGATGGTCCGAAATTTATTTCAACTAGATCCATAGCTTCTTCCAAGAGAAAAAGCGTTGCTAGAGCCGTGCCGGCTAAATATTTTTTCTACAAGTCTTAAGATTTCTACAAGATCAATTTCAATTTTCATAAAAAGTATCGATTGAAAAAGCTGAATGATCTTGTTCATTGTAACGGTCAGCAGCTGCGATCTCTATAAGTAATTATCTTCGAAAGAAGTAACTCAAGATTCAATAATTGTAGATTGAAATGATTTTCTGCTTAGTTGTGTAAGTAGATAACAGACTACCAATTTTTTATACTCTGAATTGATGCTCAGCTGACGAAAGTCGATCAGACTGCGCCATAAAATAAATTGCATAAGATCAAGCTGCTTAGGATCACTTTCATGAGCAAACATGCGAAAATATTGCGGAAGTGCAGGAGTTTATTTTTGCAGTTTCAAATCTCTGTGGAATAATCGAATTTGACTTGTCTGCGCATTCATACAATAGCACTAGAAGATTGAGTGATAACAGTGTTTTATATTGGTATCCTTTTACAGAAATAGTTTATGGGAAAACATAGATTAGACAGAGCATCGCGATCGCACTGGATATACGCGTAAATGGACCATAATTGAAATCAACCAAAATAATGTTTTTTTAATCAAGATTCCATCCCAATCAACTATGTATTTGAAACGGTGCTGATATGCTTTGAGCTTACCTTGTTGAGTTCTGCACTTTATAACTACTTCTCCGATAATCTGATGCAAAGGGAGAAATTTGAGAAAAGTTATCCTAATGATTGCTCTCCTCGTTTTCAACGAAAGGCGTACAATCCAGCTACACTTTGATTTCGTAACTCAGTAGCTCCGACAACATATGTTACAGTTGTTCTAGAGCATTCAATTATTGACAATGTTGCTAAGTTACAGGTTGCGCAGCTCTTTCATAAAAATTTATTACGCCTCATTTGACGCAGGAGCGATTATTCATCAAGGTCAGCCGTTGCCAGGGTAAAGATAATCCGTAGGATGTTTGATGGGTGAAAATTCTTCGACTGCTCTTTGTCCCAGTACTATGAAAAATTCAGTGTATATAATTCACTTGAAGGAGCAATAATAGAATTTTATTCCAGCAATGGCGCAGAGAAGCGTCTATGATCCTCATGATCCATGGGCATTTAGAAACACTTGGACCGGAGAGATTCGAAACAGCTACGATGATTTGTAAGTGGCCGTAGATAATTTTCTTTAACGCAGTTTATCACATAGTTCAGATTCATAATAGCCATTTTAGATGGATTTGGATGACTCTAATCATTGGTCTGACTTTGCTGGCATTGTGTATTTTAGTACCCATCTTGATTCATATCTATTGCAAGGATGCTTGCTTCTGTTTGGTAAGTTTTTTTTCTGTAAAAAATGAACTCTGTCTTCTGTTAATCTGATTGAAAATTGCTTGTTTTCAGTTCACACAATAGTCTGTACGATGAAAATACTATCTGCATATATGAATGAATTTATAAAATTACGGGAGATCCAAAATAGTATTTGTAGACTACAATTTGGGGAAATTTCTATAGGGGAATTCTCTAAAGTTGTAGATCTTTTTGCTCGAAATCAATTTGGAATTCATCAACCATTAGCATGGTATAATACTAATCACTTCAAATATTTTCTTCTTATTTGTGCACGTACTATTCTCCTTTTAGCATCCAGTAATTCTCGTGTTCTGCTCACTCTTACACAGATCGATCATGCACTAATTTGCAATAATGTTCCAATTTTTTATCTGCGTAAAAGATTAGCAAAATTGTTTGAAAAAATGATAAGTGTCTGATTAACCATCTAATAGGTTTCCCACTTACAGCTGAAGTGCATGCCAGAATTCTCACTTACTACTTGTGAGATATTTTTTTGCAATAAGCTTGACAAAGCAACAAAATATTCGATTTCGCTGAGCAAGTTGGATTCGCTACTGACCCCCCCCCCCCCCACCCAGCAAAAAAACGCTGCGCCCGAATCTTTGTTACGAAGCTGTGCTAGGACTAACTTTTTCAAGATTTAGGAGACTGGGAGTAGTTACAGCTTGTAGCAATTCAGTTTACAGTTCCTGGCAATCGTAATCTACCAGTTTGATCCACAGTCTTGCACCTGAAAGTGCTAAAAATTAGCCTATAAATGTATGAAACAATGTTTTAAGTAGTAATATGTGTTTTTTGAAACTTGCACTGAGTGCTTTCTCTAACGATCTACATCAGACATTTTCGAAATGAAATCGGTATTCCGGTTACAATAATCGACAATCAAAACTAGCAGTAGTAACAATCATTTACTATTGTTTTCTCACGGTCAAAGAGTTAGACCATAGTTAAAAATAAAATAGGGTTTTTTGGACTTTCTATTAGGTTGAACCGAAAGTTCTGTCGCACCATTTTCAAAAAATCATAACTTCTTTCCGTCACGACAATTTTGCGCAATTCAAATTTTGCCTGAAAGCGTAAGGCAAGTAGTTTCCAAAGGTCTCCTGGGGACTTTTCAACAAGCTCAGGTTGCAGAGATAAAAATGAAAGGAGATCATCCGAAATTCGGAATTTTTAAGCAAAAATTCTAAAAATCTAGAAACTGTGCGATAAAATCCAGAACAGCCATCATCCCATCTTTTTATATTTTATTACTAACTGAGTCAAGTTTGTGCTGATCGAGGTCGTCTTGCAGAAGTTACGATTTTTTGAAAAAAAAAGCAGAAAAATCGATTTCTTAAGAGTTCTTTGAAAATTGATTTTTCGGCATTTTTTTAAAATATCGTAACATCTGCAAGACGACCTCAATCAGCACAAACTTGACTCAGTTAGTAATAAAATACAAAAAGACTTAGGATGATGGCTGTCCTGGATTTTATAGCACAGTTTCTAGATTTTTAGAATTATTGCTTAAAAATTCCGAATTTCGGATGATCTCGTTTTTTCATTTTTATCTCTGCAACCTGAGCATGTTGGAAAGTCACCAGGAAACCATTAGATACTACATGCTTTACGCTTTCAGACAAAATTTGAACTATGCAAAATCAAATCTTTCGGTTCAACCTAATAATATTAGGTTGTCCCGAAAGTTTTGTCGGTTTCTTTTATCGATCACTAAAACTCACAGAACACCAATCCATGGGCAAGGGTAACTGTTATGCAGAGCAAATCTTTGGCTACATTTTCTTTATTTTAAATTACATGAGTCACGTTTACCAAGTCCGTTATAACTGATTATTTAATAAAAACAGCGACTTTCTGACTACCAAAAAGCTGCTTTCTCAAGGCAAATCAAAATTGATCATGTTGGATGAATAATGCTCAATAAGGATCATTTTTCATTTCGCAGAAATTTTGAAAACTTCCGTGTATTTGCTGCAGTTGCGTGTTTACGGCTTTGCCAAAAATCGAGACCTCTTAAGAAATAAATTTTCTCAAGCTAAAAACAGCAGATTAGGAGAATCTAAGAATGTATTTTGTAGTACGAGAATTGCTTTATTAGAATCATACTTAACCATTTTAGAAACTTTAGAATGAAATTTTTAAAAATTAGCCGAATTTAGAGTAGATGAAATTGGCGAATGGAGAATTTTAACAAATATCGGAAAAAGCGTACAAGATTGTGACTCGAGAATGTATCCATAAGAAAGAGAAGAAAAAGCTGCATCGAATGCATGTTGAAACTCATTCGGATATTTATTTTGCGTGGTTCCATATTGGTTTAAAAAAACCGACAAAACTTTCGGGACG